CATATAGGTACTAGTTGCTGTCTACTACTCCTCTATCTGTCTTTAGTGAGAGCAAAGCATAATATTTTTACGAAAAAAAAAAACAAAACAAATTTTAAACGGAAATTAAAACAAAATTCTCTAAACAAAGTACTCAAACGAAGTTCAGAGATTTGTAATTAAGCACTTTTGTGCAGCAAAAATTCGTGGGTYGTTAATGGAAGTGTAAAACCAACATAACAAATAAAGGTTGCAACAACAAAAATGCGCGTTTGCTGTCAAGTTAGCAAATGCATTAGAACTCAACGCTGACTAACTGCTTTACTTCCTTTAAATGCGAATCAACAAAAAATAAATCAGTGGCATAGGAACTTTCTGCAAACGGTTAACTTTTCACACACTAATGCATAAAAATTTCATTTCATACGAGAGCTGAGTGTGTGCTTGAGTTTGCCTGTTTTTTTGTTGCAAATTTGAGAACACACACGCGAGCATGTGTTTCATATGAAGGTAGGGTGCAAGCAAAAAAAACAAAAAAAGCGAAAAAATGCAGGAAGCGGTGATGGAAAGTCTACAAAAACGCAAACAGGAAACTTTTTTACACACAACTTTGATTCGTATGCGAAACACATACGTATATATGCATGTATTTATGTATGTATCATATATGATATATGYCAATACTATAGCCAACATTTGTGTGTTAATTTGAGTGCTGCAATGGTCGGAGAAATAAAATTTGCTCATATGAATGCGCTGGCATTTTCCCATTTCTATATTCACATGCATAATATATACACACACACATGCAGTTGTGTGTATATGTGCGCGCGTATAAAAATTATTTAAACTTGCTAGTGTGGCACAAATGACTTTAACGAGTTTTCTGGCTGCTTGGGAATGTGTGATATGCCGGCGGTTTGTTTCTGTTTTTGCTGTTATTGCTGCTGCCAAACCCAATTGGTGTCGCACCCTAGTGGTTTGCCCTTGTTAAAGCTTTGCTCGTACTAATTTTATTTAATCCTTTATGCATTCAAATTGCAGTTCGCTCACTATGGAATACTGTTTGTGGATCGAGGGGGATATGAATGAAAGGAGTATACGTGTTTGTGGTATACGTTATGTGTGTAACAAGAGGTATTTTTTTTTACTGAAGAGGCTTATGTCGAGAATTTGTGGCTCTGCGGGGTAGCTTCATTATTAACGTGAATTATTACAAATATAACTCTTAGTGATCTCTCTAAGATATATACATCAAATATACATATAAATATRTGTAAAAAYTCRTCGATATATTTCTCATAAATAATAAATGCACTGGAGTTTGGAATATCTGTTGGCTATCGGTTTTTTCCCTTTCTTTTTAGCGTCCTGGTAAAAAATAWCMTAACAGCTTGACACGACGTTTGATCTGTCAAAAAATGCTATAGGAAAAAGTACCTGGGTCACCCGTTAGAAACATTCATAACATATAAAGGCATTAAAAATTGCAAAAAAAGGAATAAGAAAAAAATACTAACCTGTTGGTATAAATCTCAGGAAAGGATGTTGAGTTAAACAAATATTTGTGGACATAAAAAAAAGCGTTGTCTGCATTTAGGCGCTATTTGAAATAAAGTTTTTGACATAAAATAAATAATTTTAGCGGAGACTAAACCAAAAAGGCCTAAAAAAATTTCTAAAAGATCTTAATTGTACAACATTTTGATTTTTTTTTCAAAATTTAGTTCTTTGAAGTGAGTCAATAATTATTTCCCGTCATCTTTCTTTTTTTGCAGGCCTACAGCTGCGAAGCATTGAGGAGCCGAGTACGCAGTGCCAAACAACAACACATCATTACCATCACACCGGTCGTATGCCAGCGGCGGAGCAGGGGGGCACAGGRTGCGTCAGCTTTGAAAACGCCAATGCGTTAAATCAGCGTACCGGTGTCCCCCTGCAACTGCAAACTACACAAAATCAATATCATCATCACCAACAGCAACAACAAAACCCGCACACCATGCAGCATACAACACAAAAGGGCTACGATGCCGAACAGGCGCGCATGGAGGCGTGGATGGATGAGAATCAAGAATTTGTACAGGATTATTTCATAAGGTAAGCGGGTAAAGGATATGCCAAAGAGTGGGTGACTGGCGCGATTATGCCGGGGTTGAGCGCAAAATGAGCTCAGAAATTAATAAATACAAGCAAATAAAGGATTAGCTAGCTAAATGTATGAAAGAGTTGCGCAGCAGCAGAGCTTCGAAGTGATTGTCTTAAGCTTGACCTTGTAGAAAATCCTAATAATCGTGCTTATATAAGAAGAAGTAGCAGCTTAAGGAGCTTAAATACAAGAGTACATAAATATAGATGTGTTTCTCTGTGAGTGCACAACTGGGTTCTCATGCTTTTTTGTATAAATATTTATAGTATTGCCATAAATACGAGACTATTGTGAGTTTGACAATACAGCGTAATATACTCGTATCGTATATTCATATGCAGAGCATGCGAGCGAATTGCATGTGCGCGTTAATATACCTCGAAGTATTAATATTATATATTTTTTGCCTTGCAACTCCTCCTTTAACATAGCAGGACTGACTGTTAGATAAAAAGTATGTCTGTGTTAAACTTACATGGATGTAGTACATTTGTGTACATGTGGATGTGTTTGCTTGGCAACAGTGTACAAAATGCAATCAAGATTGAAAATTTTCTTGGCTAGCTTCTAAGCTTTTTTCATTCTTCAAAAGACAGTTGTGGTTTACAAAATATGAAAAATGTTAAATAAGTGGGCTTTTTTTTTTAGTATAAAAGGACTCTTTTGTATATTTAATTTGAAAGAAAATTAACCTTATTGAGCTATTTCTTAAATATTCAGCAGGAAAGACCAACGTACATCTGTCCAAGAGATTTATTGCAATTGACAGGATTTTTTAAGTATAAAATCGATCGAAATTGCTTTTAGTATTTCTCTCCTGAATTTGTAAAAATTTACGCGTTCTCGTTTTGATAATTTTTTTTTCCAAATCCTCTGAGCATAAAATAATTGCTATAGTAAATTTTTGCTTGAGAACTCTCCCGATAAGCTGATGGTTCGTGTCTCTGCTAAGGGAAAAGCTAAGCTGATCTTAATTTTCAGCAAGTAAGGCCACAAATTATTGTGGAAAGTTTGCGCTGTAAAAATCCAATAATTGTCTGATTAATGCACTCTTATATATATGTGATTGAGAAGTTGGTATACTATATGTGTCTGCTATGAAGATCCGAATGTGGAAGTTATTTCCAATTGGATTACTACAGTTGAATTCCATATACCCTCTCAGTAGAAAAATCGATCCTCTCGTGAATTTTTACTTAGAAATAATCTCCGTGGTGGTTCGTGTCTTTGCTAAGACAAAAGATAAGCAAAAAACCTTTAGTTTATAATTTTTATATTAATTTTAAAATTAATTGTTAAGAAGCACCGAAAAACTTCATGTTCACCCAAGAGTGACACTAATTTTGACAACTTCCTTTTACCACCCCGAAGCAACCAATCCCATATCCCTCAGCAATACACACATACATTCAAAAACCAATCGCACACAAAATAACTTAGTGGTATGAGAAGTGAACGGCGGGCATAAAAATAGAATTGCCATAAATTGTGTCCTACGGAATCAGGATATTAAAGGATATTACAATGTCAATCAATTTATTAGCGCCAACACGAGCAGCTGTAATAATGTTTCGTTATGCAAGTAAGTGAAATGAATTCAAATGATATTGAGTCCGCCAACGAACACGCGCCGCAGCAATAAAGGGAATATGAGACCAAAGTGACGCAAAGCAGAAATAAAAATAACTGAATAAAATGCAATAATATGAAAATAAATATTGTATTAAAGTGTTAAAAAAATCAGGCAAGTGTGAAAAAGTGCGCATGAATATAAAATTTCAATTGCTGGCAAGCAATGTGGCGCGAGAGTCAATGCTGCGAGTGTGAAGATTTAATTGAAGGTGGGGAAAAAATTGAGCGGAATGCTGAAAAAAGGACCAAAACAGCAAAAAAAGAAAAGGAAAAGTGGAAACTCCTTCATGCGGAAGTCGAATAAGCTGCCCCATAAATTGGCCATTAATAAAAAGAAAATTTATGAATGTGGGAAAAAGGAGAGGGTGTATGTTATGTGCGTGTGCACGCATGTAGGAATGTGCATTAATGCTTTTTTATGGTGTTTAAAAATATTTTTATATATATTAGCCGCTTGCTTGTTACAAACATTTAGCAAAAAAATCAATTTGGGGTGATATTCGCAGGGTTCGGTTGAGCTTATATGTATGTGTTGGTATATGTATTTATGGTGATATCTGTCTGTGTATGCGGTCACTAGTGAGTATATTGGTTATAAATTATGGACATTTTTGTGCGCTTTTGTCCATCTGATTTGCATAAATCCGCATTGTGTGAGATTTAGCAACAGCAGCTGGCGAATGTGATTGCTTTGTATATATACTCGCTGGGTTTTTGCGGGGTGTCGAATATTGCACCATTATTGGCTATTTTGTATAAGATTGTTATTTATAGCATTGTATTTGACTTTTATTAGAAAAGCGTGTGTGATGAAGGAAATGTTTGCAAATTAGGAAAATGTATGAATATTGGAGAGCGGTAATTTTTGTCACCGGGGTTAAAGAGAAGTGCGCATAATTGGAGTCGTGGAGTTAATTTGGTAATAAATAAGGGATTCTGTATTAAATTATTGGTCACATATCACGGAAAAAGTTGAGAGTATGCAGACTGTCCCTAAAACAGAAGACTTAAGAAAGTGTTATTTTGCGGCCAAATGACCCTACTCTCTCTGAGTGACGTTATCTTAATTCTTAATTATTTCAGCGATTTTTCATAAATATATTATTCATAAAATATGCACCGTCGCTTTTGCCACACAACGTTGTTGCCCAATACTAAATAAGACAAGATTTCTATAATGCAACTTTTTAAGAATAATGGTATATAACTGTACGTAAGAGTACCGTTAAGTCGAATAAAATACTGTATATTTATAACGTGTACTCCATACAATCATAACTGCATCAAAAAAGTAAAATGCAGCCACTTTGCCAACTGAATAAATTTGCTGCCATGGCGTATGAGTAACCGCCGTGAAGTGGAAAATGAACAATGGCGTAGCTTAGGCTTAGGCTTCGGCAAAACTGTAAAGCCACTTGCTCACTGCTCACTTAAGAGCAACACAAAAAACAATAAAAAAAAAACATTTGGACAACAACAAAAATAAATATTTGAACAACAACAACCAACTTTAGAGCCAACTTTAGTGAGCCTGTGCAAATATTTGCTGAAGTAATTGCAGTAAAAGTATAAGCGCTTAGAAAAACAAAAACAGAAACTCGAAAAAAAGCAAAAAATAAACAACAGTGTCACAATTTATGAGTTTAGATAAAATTTTGAAATTTGGGTCACTGCAGTCAATTTCTGCGCTTTTGGCAGGCAANACACACACACATGCAGTTGTGTGTATATGTGCGCGCGTATAAAAATTATTTAAACTTGCTAGTGTGGCACAAATGATTTTAACGAGTTCTCTGGCTGCTTGGGAATGTGTGATATGCCGGCGGTTTGTTTCTGTTTTTGCTGTTATTGCTGCTGCCAAACCCAATTGGTGTCGCACCCTAGTGGTTTGCCCTTGTTAAAGCTTTGCTCGTACTAATTTTATTTAATCCTTTATGCATTCAAATTGCAGTTCGCTCACTATGGAATACTGTTTGTGGATCGAGGGGGATATGAATGAAAGGAGTATACGTGTTTGTGGTATACGTTATGTGTGTAACAAGAGGTATTTTTTTTTACTGAAGAGGCTTATGTCGAGAATTTGTGGCTCTGCGGGGTAGCTTCATTATTAACGTGAATTATTACAAATATAACTCTTAGTGATCTCTCTAAGATATATACATCAAATATACATATAAATATRTGTAAAAAYTCRTCGATATATTTCTCATAAATAATAAATGCACTGGAGTTTGGAATATCTGTTGGCTATCGGTTTTTTCCCTTTCTTTTTAGCGTCCTGGTAAAAAATAWCMTAACAGCTTGACACGACGTTTGATCTGTCAAAAAATGCTATAGGAAAAAGTACCTGGGTCACCCGTTAGAAACATTCATAACATATAAAGGCATTAAAAATTGCAAAAAAAGGAATAAGAAAAAAATACTAACCTGTTGGTATAAATCTCAGGAAAGGATGTTGAGTTAAACAAATATTTGTGGACATAAAAAAAAGCGTTGTCTGCATTTAGGCGCTATTTGAAATAAAGTTTTTGACATAAAATAAATAATTTTAGCGGAGACTAAACCAAAAAGGCCTAAAAAAATTTCTAAAAGATCTTAATTGTACAACATTTTGATTTTTTTTTCAAAATTTAGTTCTTTGAAGTGAGTCAATAATTATTTCCCGTCATCTTTCTTTTTTTGCAGGCCTACAGCTGCGAAGCATTGAGGAGCCGAGTACGCAGTGCCAAACAACAACACATCATTACCATCACACCGGTCGTATGCCAGCGGCGGAGCAGGGGGGCACAGGRTGCGTCAGCTTTGAAAACGCCAATGCGTTAAATCAGCGTACCGGTGTCCCCCTGCAACTGCAAACTACACAAAATCAATATCATCATCACCAACAGCAACAACAAAACCCGCACACCATGCAGCATACAACACAAAAGGGCTACGATGCCGAACAGGCGCGCATGGAGGCGTGGATGGATGAGAATCAAGAATTTGTACAGGATTATTTCATAAGGTAAGCGGGTAAAGGATATGCCAAAGAGTGGGTGACTGGCGCGATTATGCCGGGGTTGAGCGCAAAATGAGCTCAGAAATTAATAAATACAAGCAAATAAAGGATTAGCTAGCTAAATGTATGAAAGAGTTGCGCAGCAGCAGAGCTTCGAAGTGATTGTCTTAAGCTTGACCTTGTAGAAAATCCTAATAATCGTGCTTATATAAGAAGAAGTAGCAGCTTAAGGAGCTTAAATACAAGAGTACATAAATATAGATGTGTTTCTCTGTGAGTGCACAACTGGGTTCTCATGCTTTTTTGTATAAATATTTATAGTATTGCCATAAATACGAGACTATTGTGAGTTTGACAATACAGCGTAATATACTCGTATCGTATATTCATATGCAGAGCATGCGAGCGAATTGCATGTGCGCGTTAATATACCTCGAAGTATTAATATTATATATTTTTTGCCTTGCAACTCCTCCTTTAACATAGCAGGACTGACTGTTAGATAAAAAGTATGTCTGTGTTAAACTTACATGGATGTAGTACATTTGTGTACATGTGGATGTGTTTGCTTGGCAACAGTGTACAAAATGCAATCAAGATTGAAAATTTTCTTGGCTAGCTTCTAAGCTTTTTTCATTCTTCAAAAGACAGTTGTGGTTTACAAAATATGAAAAATGTTAAATAAGTGGGCTTTTTTTTTTAGTATAAAAGGACTCTTTTGTATATTTAATTTGAAAGAAAATTAACCTTATTGAGCTATTTCTTAAATATTCAGCAGGAAAGACCAACGTACATCTGTCCAAGAGATTTATTGCAATTGACAGGATTTTTTAAGTATAAAATCGATCGAAATTGCTTTTAGTATTTCTCTCCTGAATTTGTAAAAATTTACGCGTTCTCGTTTTGATAATTTTTTTTTCCAAATCCTCTGAGCATAAAATAATTGCTATAGTAAATTTTTGCTTGAGAACTCTCCCGATAAGCTGATGGTTCGTGTCTCTGCTAAGGGAAAAGCTAAGCTGATCTTAATTTTCAGCAAGTAAGGCCACAAATTATTGTGGAAAGTTTGCGCTGTAAAAATCCAATAATTGTCTGATTAATGCACTCTTATATATATGTGATTGAGAAGTTGGTATACTATATGTGTCTGCTATGAAGATCCGAATGTGGAAGTTATTTCCAATTGGATTACTACAGTTGAATTCCATATACCCTCTCAGTAGAAAAATCGATCCTCTCGTGAATTTTTACTTAGAAATAATCTCCGTGGTGGTTCGTGTCTTTGCTAAGACAAAAGATAAGCAAAAAACCTTTAGTTTATAATTTTTATATTAATTTTAAAATTAATTGTTAAGAAGCACCGAAAAACTTCATGTTCACCCAAGAGTGACACTAATTTTGACAACTTCCTTTTACCACCCCGAAGCAACCAATCCCATATCCCTCAGCAATACACACATACATTCAAAAACCAATCGCACACAAAATAACTTAGTGGTATGAGAAGTGAACGGCGGGCATAAAAATAGAATTGCCATAAATTGTGTCCTACGGAATCAGGATATTAAAGGATATTACAATGTCAATCAATTTATTAGCGCCAACACGAGCAGCTGTAATAATGTTTCGTTATGCAAGTAAGTGAAATGAATTCAAATGATATTGAGTCCGCCAACGAACACGCGCCGCAGCAATAAAGGGAATATGAGACCAAAGTGACGCAAAGCAGAAATAAAAATAACTGAATAAAATGCAATAATATGAAAATAAATATTGTATTAAAGTGTTAAAAAAATCAGGCAAGTGTGAAAAAGTGCGCATGAATATAAAATTTCAATTGCTGGCAAGCAATGTGGCGCGAGAGTCAATGCTGCGAGTGTGAAGATTTAATTGAAGGTGGGGAAAAAATTGAGCGGAATGCTGAAAAAAGGACCAAAACAGCAAAAAAAGAAAAGGAAAAGTGGAAACTCCTTCATGCGGAAGTCGAATAAGCTGCCCCATAAATTGGCCATTAATAAAAAGAAAATTTATGAATGTGGGAAAAAGGAGAGGGTGTATGTTATGTGCGTGTGCACGCATGTAGGAATGTGCATTAATGCTTTTTTATGGTGTTTAAAAATATTTTTATATATATTAGCCGCTTGCTTGTTACAAACATTTAGCAAAAAAATCAATTTGGGGTGATATTCGCAGGGTTCGGTTGAGCTTATATGTATGTGTTGGTATATGTATTTATGGTGATATCTGTCTGTGTATGCGGTCACTAGTGAGTATATTGGTTATAAATTATGGACATTTTTGTGCGCTTTTGTCCATCTGATTTGCATAAATCCGCATTGTGTGAGATTTAGCAACAGCAGCTGGCGAATGTGATTGCTTTGTATATATACTCGCTGGGTTTTTGCGGGGTGTCGAATATTGCACCATTATTGGCTATTTTGTATAAGATTGTTATTTATAGCATTGTATTTGACTTTTATTAGAAAAGCGTGTGTGATGAAGGAAATGTTTGCAAATTAGGAAAATGTATGMATATTGGAGAGCGGTAATTTTTGTCACCGGGGTTAAAGAGAAGTGCGCATAATTGGAGTCGTGGAGTTAATTTGGTAATAAATAAGGGATTCTGTATTAAATTATTGGTCACATATCACGGAAAAAGTTGAGAGTATGCAGACTGTCCCTAAAACAGAAGACTTAAGAAAGTGTTATTTTGCGGCCAAATGACCCTACTCTCTCTGAGTGACGTTATCTGAATTCTTAATTATTTCAGCGATTTTTCATAAATATATTATTCATAAAATATGCACCGTCGCTTTTGCCACACAACGTTGTTGCCCAATACTAAATAAGACAAGATTTCTATAATGCAACTTTTTAAGAATAATGGTATATAACTGTACATAAGAGTACCGTTAAGTCGAATAAAATACTGTATATTTATAACGTGTACTCCATACAATCATAACTGCATCAAAAAAGTAAAATGCAGCCACTTTGCCAACTGAATAAATTTGCTGCCATGGCGTATGAGTAACCGCCGTGAAGTGGAAAATGAACAATGGCGCAGCTTAGGCTTAGGCTTCGGCAAAACTGTAAAGCCACTTGCTCACTGCTCACTTAAGAGCAACACAAAAAACAATAAAAAAAAAACATTTGGACAACAACAAAAATAAATATTTGAACAACAACAACCAACTTTAGAGCCAACTTTAGTGAGCCTGTGCAAATATTTGCTGAAGTAATTGCAGTAAAAGTATAAGCGCTTAGAAAAACAAAAACAGAAACTCGAAAAAAAGCAAAAAATAAACAACAGTGTCACAATTTATGAGTTTAGATAAAATTTTGAAATTTGGGTCACTGCAGTCAATTTCTGCGCTTTTGGCAGGCAATTACATTATATATATGTGCAAATCTTTGCAATTTATTTATTATAAACATATGCACATACACGYATATGCATGTGCGTGTCATCTTTTTTTATTTAGCTTGAATGATTTATTGACGCTGTCATGCTCTTGTCATATTTTGATTTGTTCTCGCAAAATTTATTATTTTCGTCCTGCGGTCGGCAATGCAGCTGCCTCGTTGGGCAAACAGCTTTTTGTGTGCAATAAACAACAAACAAAATATCTAAAATAAAATAAAATAATATTTATTTAGTTATGTTTGCCTTTGTGTTGCTGGCTATAGCTTTTGAAGTGCACCCAGCTGCAATGTTTTTCAAAGAAGTTGACTTTGTTAGCTGCATTGAAGCGAAGAAAGGACCTATCAARCTGTGCGCATATATTCGACATCAATAAATAGCGTATAATTGGCAGTAGAGAAGTTTGAAAATTTAACACATTGTCCTTGAACTCATTGAAGTGCTGATTTTTGGTTTTGGGAGAGTGATTGATAGGTATCTTGTTCTCTATTTTTGCTTGGGGATTGAGAAATAGTTTAGTATTTTGTGTGACAATATTGCTTTCATGTCAAAGGTTTTCTACTTTTATGTTGTTTCTATGGTAAATAAATTGCTTTTGCTTTTTTTTTTTTTAARTAGTCCTTAAACAGATTTGTATAAGAAAACTAGTGAAACTTGAAATTTCAAGCACGGAAGGAGCAGTTGAGAAAGAGAGGAATAAAAGAGAAAATAAAGTTGTTGAACATAATTATAAATTGTCTGTGAGACAATTTCTTTTGCTCTAAAATATATATTATAAGCCTAATAACTCAAACCCTTGACAGATGGATATTACCGGTTCTACGTTAGTCGAGTCCAAGTAACCCGAACGAACCCAGACTGTCCAAGCACTAGTAACTCGGCACCATTCCTCGTAATTATTCGAAGAATGTTTTCTGTCACTTCAACAACAACAACACTCGTGTTGCAAAAGTTCACTAAATTTTCGCCAACACTTCTTCAAGGCTGATTGTAATAATTTTCATGAATTTTGTTTAAAAAAATAAAAGAAAAGTTCTTCAACTTTTTATGACTTTTATAATTGGGGTACTCACAACCCGTCGTAAAGCATTATAAAATCGTAAAATTAAAGATGTTTACACTTGTTTAAAAAAATTGTTGTTGGATGTCATACAAAAATGAACTTACACATTTACAATTTTCAAAGCTATGTTTTCGAATCGTTATAACTTATAACTTTATGAGACCTTATGAAAACCCTAAATACAACAATAAAAAAAATCTATTTGTCAACAATTTTTCATCTTTTTCTGATTTCTCTTTGCAGAAAAGCCACACGTCAGGTAGTTGATGCTTGGCTCGTTTCACATGCCACTACAGCTGGCAATGATGTCTCGTTGACTGGCTCACCTACACATACAAATGGACAGAGTTGCTCATCACGAGGTGGATCGGGAGCGACAACGCCGGTGAGGTAAGTCGCAGAATTGAAAAATGTGAATTTTATGCATTTATACTTGCGAAAATCTTTTTTTAAGACTGCTAAAAGCAGAGAAAAATCCATGAAACGATTGTTACTGTGGAAAATTATAAAACAAAAAATATTTTTAAAATGAAAATTAATATTTAAAATTATAAAGAAGCATGTAACAAAGTATACCTGATAATTAGTTGAAAAATATGTGCAGGTTTTTTCAGTAAAAAATTTTTAATTTAAAATTATTTTCCTGACACTCGAGATGTCGTCTTTAAAGCTAAACCACCCTGTTTTATACCTGATATATTCATTATTAGCATTAGCTAAGCTGCTTGAGCTATACCCTATATGAACCATATATTCACTCGTCGTAATCCCCTCATATATCAGCATATGTGTATATATGTGTATGAGTAATCGCCGACAAATCAATATTTACCACTAGAGCATACGCCGACYGAGTGTAGACGTTTTATTTCACATGCAGCCAGACCTCTTCATTGAAATCGAAACTGGCATGCTTTTAATGAGAAATTTGTAATATTACCCCAACAGATTATGCTATTAATAAATGTATTGTACTGTATCGATGATAAAAGCTAAATATAGCTGACTTAGCATATTCCACATTTCTATAGCAGATATGTGCTTGCTACACCCAGTTATGTTCATGCGTTGCCTCAAAGCCAAGCATGATTTTTTGACCTATGCAACGCACATATTTCATTTAACGCCCTTTGGCTTTTTCAACACTAGTGCTGTTGCTCCTCTTTTATGTGTTTGCTATTTTAGACGCCATAGCTGTTTGTCCACAGCGCTCTTGTGCTGTTGTTATGTTGCCAGTAGCTTGTTGCCTATGTTCTATGGTCTATTATCTACGGTTGATTGTCCTTCATTTCAACGCACAGCTGTTTGCTGTTTGGTACTTATTAAATGTACATACAACAACAATAGCAGCGATCCACGCAAGTGCCGGTTACACACCCCATACATATATTTGTATATGTGTGCYATTATTGGTTTGACTTGTGCGCTAGTGTTGGTACGGCAAAGCTTCGAGTTGATGAAGTGTACTCTGACATTCTGCTTTCTGTTGCTTTTTTTTTATTTMTATGTTTACTTAGCCATTTTGTTGAGTGGCAGGCAGGCAATATTAGCAGATAAATGGTGTAATGGCCCAGAAAAGTTGAGTTGCTAACCGCAAAAAATAATTTCAGTGCTGCCTCAAGCCATCGTTCAACTGTGTGCACTCATATATATTTGTTGTTGTGTATCCTATTGTGGTTATAATCTGTTGATATACTGCCCTGCTGGCTTAAATTTGGCGATAGATAAAGACTGTGTTGTTTTTAATCAATCTTGCTTAAAGGGTTACATGGGTTTACTCGGGWAAAATCAGTATTTTTCAAAATTTTTTTCTCATATAAAAAATGAAATATTTTACTAGATTTTCTTATTGTTAAAAGCATTATTAACAACGCAGTTCAGAACTTGAAAAAAAAACTGAAAATTGGTGTTTTAGCAGACATTTTTACATTAAAAAAAAAAAAATGAAATTTGAAAAAATTCAGTGGAAAATTTGAGTTTTTTTTTTAAATAGTTGCTATCGATAAAAAAAACCTCGTCCAAGTCTTTAAGAAATGTATCTCAAAGACCTGCACAAAATTTCACGAAGATCGGTTGAGTGGTTCTCGTGAAATCTTGCCCACCGAGCTCATTATTGTGCACATGACTTATTAATTAAATAATATTTATTTCTCTATTTTTCATATTTTCCGCTGTATGACTCTACACTGCTACTTGCTGATTCGTAATAATTTCCATGAATTTCCCTGAATGCGGCTGGCCGTTGGTGTGTTATTCTTGGCATCAATGGAAATTCAAACACTCGYTGCGCACGTGAATCCGCTACAAACYCRCACATACACACACATACGTSAACGATTGCAATTGGCTTGCAGAAAAATATCAGCACATGAATTTGAACGCGGCGGTCTGCTGAAGCCAATTGTCAACACCATTGACGGTACACCGACATTCTTAAGTGTAGGCACACAAAATGATTGCTCAACAAACAGCAGCAATATGGGCGGCATTGGTGGTGCGAGTAATGGCAATAACATTGGCGCTGGCAATGGCAACTATAATGCTGCCAATGGTACGAGCACACTCGGTGCTCATCACTATCATCATCATCATCATGGACAGACGGCGCACAGTTTCGGCACAATGGGCTATTATCGGCCGCAACGTTTATCACGCAACGAATTGAAGGCGTTGGATGAGAAAGAGCTCATTTTTGAACTGGTAAGGTATTGTCTCATTTTGTCTCAACTACAATGTCTCTTGCAGTGGACAACAATAATGGCAGCGTGTATTGAATGTATACATTAAGAGTAGCGCGGTTGTTAGCACTATAAGCACAGTACGGTGGTGTGTAGTGCTTAATTAAAGCGGGCGGCATAGCATTAAAGCAGAATTGCGAATTTGAGTTTGGCAAGCGCAAAAACAGTAACTTGAAATTTCGTATATTTCGTAGGCAGACTAAGTGTTGCGTGTTCGCTGGCCCTTGTAATGGCTTAGTGGCCATTAATGGTGATGGTGCTTTGTTTTTGTTTATGGCACTAGTATTGGTATTTTGAGTATCAAATGTATTTTTAGTTGATTAAAGGCTACCTTTTGTTATTGAGCTATTGCTTATGGGCAGTGTTAGTTATGAGCAGGTGGTTACGTATAYGCCACGTGTGCACGCAGAGTGTGTAAATATCCTTTTTGGGCTGAAAATTTCGGTGTTGCAGACACAGAAATAACACTTTAGATAAAATTTGAGAATATTTTGTTCGTGCATAAAAGCAAAGTATGTCTTTTGATTAGCAATGTACAAGGTATGATAGTAAAGAGTTGTCATGATAATCATTTGATTTAAAAGGTGTGATTTTGTATATTTTGTGCCAACTCAAAGTTAAATTAGCAAAT